GGGCATCCTTGATGGTGAGGAAACAGTCCGCTTGTTCCAAGTCCCCTGAAAGATGGAAGTGATCATGAGCAAAGGGTGGTATCCCTTCCTTCCCATTGTTATTGGCCACTGGAAGATTGAAGGAAGTGCAGCTGCCTTTGGTATATCCAGTGCTTTTTTTCTGGGGGAACGCAGGGGTACGCATACCCCTAAACATTTTGTGAATCTTTGTACTTTTGTCCATTTACTGTATTTATTTCCCCCAATTTGATATATAAAATGGTGGTTTTCTTGAGTCAAAGGGCATTATATGAAGTATGGGAGAGGAGTAAAAAATCAGTAGTGATCATCATGGGACTCTGATGCAAGAGAAGTGATGTGGTGCCTGATACTTCATTCTTTGCTTTCCTTCATTATCCTCTGCTTTATATTTCCAAATATAGTCAATATTACAAAGGCATGATAATGAGAGTTCAACGTGGGGTGAGATATTATCTGGACCTAAAACCATCCCATTATTTTTTTCAAAAAATTGAAATAGAAACCACTCCACATCCTTTTTTTAAAACTGAAGTGAAACCACCCACTTCATTTGCCCACTGGAGCAGTGAATGCAAATGATATTTCAGCTACAGGGACTTGAGGCTGCAATTCTTCAGAAAGCCGAAAGCAAGCAAACAAAGCCAAAAACTAAAGCAATCACGAAACAAAAAATGGTAGTAAACCTTGTTGCAGACAGTGAAATTTACTTCTGAGTAAACATGCTGAGGGTGTTACTCTAAAACAGGCAGCGTTGCCAACGGAACTCGCTAACAATATATAATTCATGGGCACTCTGTTCCCAAAAACTGAGAAGAAGGAAATGGGTTATACAGCGAACCCACTTGCAGAAATAATTTGTGTGACTCACAAGTCTTTCAGTTCTCATAAATATGCTATGCCCTTGGAGGACTTCTTCAGTTCTGGATGCTGAAATGAACAGTGGAACGCGTTGAGGACAACTATTCTAGACAAGCAGATCAAGTGAGTGGACATGCTCTGAAGACTGGGTGGCAGGGTGGGTGGGGAAGAGAAGGAAAGTTTAAAATCTTTAAAATTGGTTGTCTTTGTAGTTATGGAAGATGAAGTCTTCAGATGGAAAAGGGTGGTGTTGGAACACAAGGGATTGGCAACACAAGGCTCTCCAGATGTTGGTGATCTATAGTTCCCATAATCTCTGTTCATTGGTTTTGCTGGCTGAGACTGATGGATGGAAGCTAGAGTTGAGCAACATCTGGAAGTCCACAGGACCTTCATGAGGACTTGGGTCAGAGTTGTAAACTGAATGAGATTCAGCAATCTTAGTTTCCAGCTGTTAATGGGAAATGGGTTTGAGCAGGGAAGCTATGAATTAGTTCTGAACTCCAAACCTGATATCTGTCCTAGTGAAACCATATGAATGCATGTGGTTGCTGATGTTGTTTCTTTGAAGCTTAGAGTGCTAAGTTGCTTAGTTTTGAAATTTGCTTACTCAGAGTGCATAAGCCGGACTGGATAGACACATTTTCCCATTTCCAGTGTTCTGATCTTTCCCCCAACCTCCCCGTGTTCCCTCTAACTTTCACCTGCCTCCACCTCAAATCTCTTCCTTCTTCTTCCAGGGCACTATGAAGAAAAATAACACAACTATCAGCTTGCAGAATTCCAGCAACACACAGATGGATGTAAGCTACCTTCCAGCAGACACAAATCTGGTTGTTGCCATCCTTATCTTCACATGCTTCTTGGTGGGGATAACTGTGAATGGGCTCTTCCTCTGGGTGCTGGGGATGAAGATGAAGAGAACTGTGAACACTATGTGGTTCCTCCACCTGATCCTCACCTACTTAGTCTCCAGCTCACTCATGCCTTTCTTTGCTGTCTTTGTCCTCCTCAATTTTGACTGGATCTTTGGCCCAATCATGTGCAAGATCTTACTCTTCTCCTTCTCTCTGGGGATGTTCACTACGGTCTTTCTACTCACCACCGTCAGCCTGGACCGCTACCTCTTCACCTGCTATCCTGTCTGGTCCCAGCGTAACCGCAGAATACCTTTGGCACGGAAGGTAATTGCAGGAGTCTGGCTTGCTTCCCTAGCTCTGAGCACCCCAAACCTGGCTTTTCTGGAGACTCAAGAAGAGGAGGGGAAGATGAAGTGCAGCTATTATTTTATTTTCTCCCCAAATCAAGATGATTTCCACACTCATCTGGCTTTCTTCTTGGTTCGTTTTCTGCTGGCCTTCCTGCTTCCATTCATCATCATCATGACATGCTACTGTCGGATTGGTTTTGAAATGAAGAAAAAAAGTTTACCGAGGACAGGGAAGATTTCCAAAGTCCTGGTGGCTGCCGTAGCATCATTCTTCATTGGCTGGTTCCCCTACCATCTCTACCATGCTTCACAGCTCTTTAAGGAAGTATCCAAAGCAACAACACAGGTTCTATGGGATACTACAGCCACCGGAGTTTGTTTCAATATCTGTTTCACCCCGATTCTGTACCTGTTTGTTGGGGAGAAATTCCAGGAGGTCTTCAAGACATCAATTTTTGCAGCGTTTAGTAAAGCTTTTGTGGACGATCCCACCAGTCTAGAGGACAATATCCACACTGGCAAGAGGGCTGACCAGAACCATTCAGAGAGCTCAATGGGAAAAACATCTGTTTTGCAGGCAGAGAGTCCCAGGTTCAAACCCCAGCATCACCAGGTAAATCTGTGAGAGACTAGTGTTAGAAATCTTGGCGGTCCACTGCCAGTCCATGCACTGGACTTCATGGACTAACTTGCCATAGTGCAGCTTCCTATAGAGAAAGATTGTAGCTTTATTGTATATCACAAATGTTGCATGCAAAAGTTCCAAAGCTTCAGTCCCCAGCATCTCCAGCTTGCGCTGTGAGATACTTTTGTCTGGGTCCTTAAAGAGCCATTGCCCAGCAATGTAGACTCTGACTAATGGTCCAGCAGTAAGGCAGCTTCTTATATATGGGGAAAGTACCCCAAACCTGAAAGTGATTTAGGGGAGCAATCTACCATATCCCTGAAGCATCTACTTTGGACCACATGTAGAGAGGAAGGTGGTTTCTTCAGAATGGGGTGGGGGGTTGTGTCAAATGACCTTTGGTGGGTCCCCTCCCCTAGTGGGCTCATGAGGCAGAGACCGTGCTCCCCACTTCACCAGGTGGTTTTTACGGATGACCAAATTGTTGCATCTTGATTGATTGCAGAGGTCTTTTATTTTTTAAAGATAACAGTCCAGAAAGGTTTTTTTTCAGGTAAAAGGGATAACTTCTTTTTCAAACAGGGGTGGAGAAACTTGCTGGCCTCTTTGGGGCCAGCTCCTTATCTGACCCCATACCTGCAAGCTAACTTTGATAGGTGGGAGAGGCAACCCACCTGCCAATCATTTTATTTTATTTATTAAATTTCTATACTGCCCTTCATCCAAGGATCACAGGGCGGCTAACAGTATAAAAACACAAAGATGCCTATCAGCAACAAACAAAACAATACTCAAACCAATGGCTTCAAGTTACAAGAAAGGAGATTCCGACTAAAGATTAGAAAGAACTTTTATTTGGTTGTTTGTATTGTTGTATGTTATGCTCACTGTATGTTATGTTCACGTTTAATGAGGGTAGATTTATGTATTGTGGGGCTGGGGGTTTATGTTATGTTGTAAATAAAATTCCAATAAAAATTAAAAAAAGAAAAAAGAATTAGTAACATAGGAAGCTGACATGTAGGCATTAAGGGACCTTATCCCATTTTAATTATTCTTGGACTCTGCCCAAAAAGAAAGAATTGGGGGGGGGCGTCTTCAGTCTCAGTTAACATGTAATCCTATATCTGCCTTGAACCAACAGCTGTACAATAAAGTGTGGCAAATAGCAATTATGGAAAAACGGACAAATAAAATTGGCAAGAAGTTTGAAGCGTAAATACTCTTTTGCAAGATTGGTACAGCTTTATTGTCTACGTGTCTAAAAATGAAAACAGGATTGCCATCACATAATAAAACTTTTTGGTTAACATTAACTGTATACCGCCTTCCGTACAAATGGTTGTCTGCAACAGGAAGCTACTATGTTATTTGGATGTTATTTTTGATGTATTGCCTGAACTCCATTGCCCAGGCTAGGGTGGGATATTTTATTTTATGTGTGAAAGATGTTGGTAATATGTTGCAATAAATTAATGAAATCTATCAAAATAAAGATAAAAAACAACATGGTGCCCGCTACATTCATTGCACCACAAATGCACAACCAGAATACTGTAAACACTTTTCTCAGAAGAAGAAGAAATCATCCATCTTATGTCTGTGTATGAAATAGCAGTGCTAATAATCCACGTTCTTCCTCTTTCATTTGAAATAAACATTCATTTATGTTTTTTTTTTAAATGATATTTATTGGAGTTTCACATGAAAAAAACATCTTAATAAAAAAAAGAAATTTAAAAATAAAAAAAACACACCATACAAAGTACAAAATACAAAATACAAAAAGAAAAAAGAAAAAAAAGAGTTAAAAACAATTCCATCTTTTCATCACACCTTTTACGTTTACTTATTTCCCGGACCTCCTCATACCTCCCTCTTTTGTATTCCAATTCAATTTGTTTGTCCAGCAATTCCTTTCCCTCCTTTTTAATCCCATCCTTAATCTTAATATAATATATTTTAAAATTTTAATCTATTAAAAACCAATTTTCCATTTCTTTTGACTTTTTTGGTCCTAATCCTTAATCTTAATCTATATATAGCTTTAAAGCCTGTACAGCTAGAAGCCACTTAATTTCAATCCAACATCACTCTAACATTCTTTAATTTTGCAATATTTCTGTAAATAGTCTTTAAATTTCTTCCAATCTTCTTCCACCGACTCTTCTCCCTGGTGATTTATGCTCTTTCACTGCCTGGACCAATGACACCTGGGAGTGCACAGCGATGTGTGTGATGCTGTTGCTCCACTGAGCAAAGGAACGACAGGAGATCCAGTCACCATCATTCTTTTTGCTTCCTTCTGCCCTCTTGGGTCAATGGAGCCTTCCTCCAGTTCGAATACCAAAAGGCCAAGGAAAAGAACACGAAACAAAACAAGACCCTAGAAGCAGATGGTGACATAAGAGAGCCATTAGCCACAAGAGGGGAGGAGGGAACACCCTAGGATCAAGATCAACAAAGGCGAAAGGGGATTTGGGTGGGCTTCTTGCTATCGTCACCTCACACAGGTGACCCCACATTTAAGCCAAATCTGGCTCCCAGGGCAGATACAAAAACCAGAAGAAGGAAGATTACTTACTTCATCAGGATAAGGCCTACCACCAAGGGAACAATCAACTCAGAAGAAGCTGAAAAGAAGCAAAAATAAAAGTCAATGTGAACAAAGCAGAACCGGCTCACAGTAAAGCAAGAGACGTAAAACAGGAGACAAGATTATTTCACACAGGGATGTCTGATCTGTTTCCCTCCAGATGCTGCTGGACTCTATCTCCCATCTTTCCTGACCATTGAGCCATGCTGGCAGGAACTGTTGAGAGTTGGAGTCCAACAATATTGGGAGAAATAAAAAATCCCTTCCAGTAGCACCTTAGAGACCAACTAAGTTTGTTATTGGTATGAGCTTTCGTGTGCATGCACACTTCTTCACATACACTGAAACAGAAGTCACCAGATCCTTATGCAGTGGTACCTTGGGTTAGGAACTTAATTCGTTCTGGAGGTCCATTCTTAACCTGAAACTGTTCTTAACCTGAGGTAACACTTTATCTAATGGGGCATCCCAGTGCCGCTGCGCCACCGCCACACAATTTCTGTTCTCATCCTGAAGCAAAGTTCTTCACCCGAGGTACTATTTCTGGGTTAGCGGAGTCTGTAACCTGAAGCGTATGTAACCCAAGGTGCCACTCTATATAGTGAGAGTGTGGGGAGGTGTATTACTCAGAAGAGTGGTGGGAATGGGTGATTGGCTGATAGGTTTACCACACCTATTGGCTGATTGGTGTCAGTGTTTGAAAAATAAAAGGTTCTGACCTCCTTTTTACTCCTTTGCCTAGTTCTCAGACCTTAGTTGGCAACAAATGAGTCTTTGAGAAAGAGTATTCTTGCAGAGTATTGCTGCTTTTATTCTTAAAAAGTCTTCTTTTCCAACCACGACCAACAGCTTTAACACAAACCAAACACAACCAGCTACCAACCAACCAAACCACAGCCAACACTAACATTGACCACTCCATATATACAGGTACAATTAGGTGAAATATTGTATGAGTCATTGTAGGCTGCTGACTCATGCTGACTTAGTTGTTTTAGCATTAAAGAAACAGTGGCCAATTTTTAGCCACGACAATTGGTGGATAGGTTTACCACACCTATCAGGCAATCACCCATTCCCACCACCCTTCTGAGTAATACCCCTCCCCACCCTCTCACTATATATAAGGGTCTGGTGACTTCTGTTTCAGCGTATCTGAAGAAGTGTGCATGAACACGAACGCTCATACCAACAGCAAACTTAGTTGGTCTCTAAGGTGCTACTGGAAGTAATTTTTTTTATTTTGTTTTGACTATGGCAGACTAACACAGCTAACTACCTGTAACTGGAAAATTGGGAGAGTGACGGATGAGACTCTCCTGTGTTGCATGGTGATATTTTCCATGATAAATCAGAAACTTGACAGCTGCCAAGGCCATGGAGCCTTCCTCCACCACCCCAACTGAATGCTGCTGAGGAGCAATGCCAGTTATCAGTGGCCACCTTCTTTTTTCTAAGTAGAAGTAAGGCTCCAGAGCTCCTGGTGCTCTACTGGTAGTGGTGCCTATCGGGACAGGCAGGGAGGGAGGGAGGGAGGGAGGGAGGGAGGGAGACCACCAATGACAGCTGGAGCCAGAGACTGGTAGAGCCAACTAAATCCAGTTATAGTCCTATCTTCCTCCCTGCTGAGTTCTGTAAGGGTAAAATGGAGACTAAGGAGGAGAAAGCTGGCAGTCTGGGCCACCGCCATGTAAGTAAGAAGGCTGCCAATTGGAACTGTCTGAGGACAGATTGCGGTAGGTGGGGCAATGCCCCATTTGCCCCAATGGACCAGCCTGCACCATCTGCTGGGAACGTAGGGATCAGCAATGACTGTCCCAGAGAGGGTGGCTCTCCCTTATCCCAGGGTGGATCTACACACGGGGGGGGGGGGGATTCTATAAGTAAGTCATAAATTAAATCATTATAACAAAAGAAAAAATCTCTATGTAAAATCGCCCTACAGTTTTGTGCTCTCCAGCGCCATCTGGTGTTAGGTGTTTATAGCAGATTTAAAATTCTGTTTTTTGACTAATGTAGCTGAGTCCCCAGTGTACAGACAGACAGAGCAGACAGAGCAAGATTTAAAAGCATTTTACAACAAAACATTGCAAGGCTGTGATTGAAATCCAGGCTGTGTGCCTTCTACCCCTGCTTGGATCCAGATTTCCCCCAACCCCACATCACCATTCTGTTCCTATCACTATTGTTGTCATTGCTAATCAGATTGCTGCATTTTTTGAAAGAGGCAACAGAGGGGATTTTCTAATATCGGCAGGGCTGCAAAAGTCAGGATTTCTCTGTCTGGTGGACTCTTACCTGTTTTCAAGGAACTAAGGTGGAATTGCATGGTGTAGACTCCCAGAGAATTGTTCCCAAGACAGATGATGCTGAGGTCGCCATCCGGGCTACCTGTCCAAATTAGGGAGCTGGTGACCTCATTCTTCTGGACTGAGGAAGAGACTTTCAGGTCTGCTGTGCTGGTGTTCTCAGCTACAGTCTTCCCGTCCAGTTGCCAATGGATCTGAGGTGGAGGCTTGGAGTGCAGGGAGCATTTGCAGAGGATGTCATTGTCTTTACGCCAACAGGCAGTGTTTTTCTCGGGGTTTTTGCTGAGCTTGGGGGCATCTGCAGAGAACCAATTAGCCAAGGTGAAGAACACATTCCGATCTAGCTAATGACTGCACCAGTTGCAATACCACAATTCATCCACTAGTAGTATCAGGGAGCAGACACTGCTGCCTCCCTAGTTCCCTACTCTGTTACCTAAGGTAAAATCCTGCTTTGGCTTGGGTTCAGAAGGCAAGGAGTTTCTTTCCCCCTTGTGTCCAGTTTGAAAATAAAAGAATTTACAGGAATGGTTTACAAAAACTTAAGAGCTGTGTCTCGTAGAATCTTAGAGTTGGCAGGGACAGAAAGGGTCATCTAGTCCAACCCCCTGCAATGCAAGAATCTCAACTAAAGCAGCCATGACAGATGGCCACCCAGCCTCCAAGGAAGGAGAGTCCATCACCTCTCGTGGGAGAAAACAATGCGGCCTGGACTTTTCCAGTCACGGGGCAGCAACAATAGTAAAAGTGGCCCTGAATGGGTTTCTTCTGCCCATGCTGCTATTAGAGGCTCAGGAACCCCTTAATGAAAAAGGGAGTTGGCCTCCATAAATAGTCACAGTACAGTGGTACCTTGGGTTAAGAACTTAATTCGTTCTGGAGGTCCGTTCTTAACCTGAAACTGTTCTTAACCTGAAGCACCACTTCAGCTAATGGGGCCTCCTGCTGCCGCTGCACGATTTCTGTTCTCATCATGAAGCAAAGTTCTTAACCCGAGGTACTATTTCTGGGTTAGCGGAGTCTGTAACCTGAAGCGTTTGTAACCTGAAGCGTATGTAACCTGAAGCGTATGTAACCTGAGGTACCACTGTACTCTAGGCAGCTACTTTCTAAAAAGAAAAAAACAATGCAGATTCTCGGTTTGCCAAATGAATATCAGAGTATTGGACTGTGCAACACCCCAACAGCTAAACACAAGGCCCACCTATGAGGCTATCACATAGTACCTAAGAGGGGGGAGAGAAATTACTTTGCAAAACGACTTAGGTCCCCACAAGCAGCATCCTTATGGCAGCCTTTTCATTGGATAAGCAAAGGAACTATGTTCTGCATCTCCAGGTAGCAAACAGTGAGACCATTGCCACCTGGGGATATTCCTTCATGAGATGCTCATTAGACGAAAAGGTCTTGAAGCAACAGAAGATGGGCAGGTGGGAGAGGGGCATTCAGCCATTCTCCTCCATTGTCCATGCAGACCTTTTCTTGCAAAACATCAAAGCCATGTCCTGCACATCCTGCTTTATGGGTAAGACAGATATGTGAACAGAAACTTCTAAGTTTGGCCTTTGTATTTAATATTAGAGAGCTGTCATTCTGATGAGAGGTTGCATAAATATGCCCTCTCCTGGTGAATGAGGATACTCCCACAGATTTCAGACAAAGGTTATGTTCAGTGACTTGAATTTGTGGTTTTGCCCCTGGGGCTGCATTTATGCATCCTGAAACTAACTTCTTAGAAAGCTTCTGCAAATATGTAAGCTCATCATGGGGCTCCTGAACTTGTGATGAAGCTGTCAAAAGCTGCATCTCACACTACTGGGCTGACACACTGCACAATGCAGCCACAGCAGTGTACATTTGCAGAGGTCCCCTTAGTGGAAGCATGCTGGTATTAGTTGCAGGTCAAGCCACTTAGCATACAATGGAGTTTCCCAGGTTAATGCCCCCAAGGAACTTCCCGCTCCCCATCTCTTACATTGCACAATCACTGAAATATTCTTCCTGATTGAGCCATGTGGATTCTCTGCCTGACACTGATACATCCCAGCATCCTCTGATTTAATGTTGGACAGTCGAAGGGTATCTTTACTGCCCTGCATATTGTTGTTTAGGGGCTTGTTGTTCTTCAGCCATGTCACGGAGGGAATAGGTTTGCCTTGAGCTTCACAAAGCAGGCTGACGGTGTCACCTTCTCGGACCACCAGCTTTTCTTCCTGCGCGGAGATATCTGTAAGAGAAATGCAGTTAGATCACAATAGGTCCTGGGATGCCTGAGGCTAAGGAATCCTCACTCAGTGCTGAGATGTTCCTGTGTATTTTGAAGAAGGATGGTTGACACCAGGTCTGCAGAAGTGGGGATTCAAAGCTTTACAATGATTATTAATTATAATTGGTTCAAGACATATTTGGGCCATAGTTTTGCAAAAAGAGAGATGATTCCCTCATTTCTCTGCAAGTTCAACTGGCAAGTGAATAATAATAATAATAATAATAATAATAATAATAATATCCACTGTTTTGCCTTCCACTGGGAAGACTTGGGCCCATTTCTTTTCCTTCTCATTCCACTTTAATACACCATTTAATGCCAACATCGGATTTTAAATGGCTTACAAAGTACAAAAACCAGTTACACAAACATTAAATATAAACACCCACAATTGAAATAGGCAATAAAACAGTCCTATTAAATAGAAAACCCACGGCAATTAAAAGAAGAGACCCAGGTCAAGAGCCTGAAGGGTGCTACGGTGGGGAGTGAATTTTGGTTCGGGTGCAAGGATGCGTGCGTAGCATGGCATGGCTGCTGGAAAGACCCACTGAGCCCAGCCCCTCCCTGTTACCATCCAGTTTGTCTTCAACTCCCCCCCAAACCACCATCCTGGGCTCTGCCCCAACTCCCAGCCATCTCTAAAACCCTTCCTCCTGCACAATCCCCACTCTGAGATCCCTAAGCAGCTATTGGTTGTCCAGCGGAGCTCAGTGAGGATGGGGGTGTGCAAAAACACTTAAGAGTTTTGTATCTCACCAGGGTGTCCAGGCCTTGTGATTCTGATGTCCTGAGGTGGGTCTGAAACATAAGAAAACAGTGAGGGGAGCATGAAGAGAGTAAATTAGCTTGCATGGGCTAGAAAGAACTGTTGGTCATTCATGGGAGGGGGAAGCAGTACTGAGCTATGGGAGCTACTCACAGACCACTTCAAGAGAGATTGTATTTGCAACTGTTGTATCAACTGCAGGGTATCTGACACGGCAAGTGAGGGCTCTGCCTTGATCCTGCAGAGATGGTGTGAAGGTGAAGCCAGAAGCAAAGGTCCAGCTCCCACTGCTGTGCTGATGGTTCTGTGCAGTTGTTGTTCCTGGCAAATTACTCCATGAGATCTGAGGCTGGCTCCATGATTCTTTCCATGGGCAGGTCCCTGGCGCCTGGCAGATGAGGGTGATGCTCTTCCCCAAAACCACCTCTGGTAAGTTCAGGATCTTTGGCTTCTCTGCCAGCTCTGAGAAAACAAAAGTCCCCAGGATGGGATCAGAAGAAAATTCACAGACTAAAGTAACTAGGGAACAGGACACAGGAGTCCTGAATTATGGATGGTCACCAGCACTACTTTATCCCCCACCTTGCAGCAAATCCTGCCATTCTTTCATTTGTCCTTTAACAATAACTTTGTGTCTCTCCCTTAGTAGACTGATTCCCCATGCAATGGTCTGCTTTCTCTACCAATGTTGGTCAGTGTTTCTGCTCATTGTGGACTCAGCCTGGAGAGAGAGAAATCTTGATGGCTGCCACTATGCTGCTGAACATGATGTTTGATACTCAGGATCCTGAAATTGGAGGATGAAGCCAGATGCGATTTGGGAGACACAGAAAGAAAAAAGGGGGGGAAATAACACCTTGAATGCAGCAGCCACAGGAGGGATCTGTCTTTCATAGGAGCACAGGCTGAGAAGGGGTCACTTAACCCTTGAACTATTTTTTCTGAAGCAAATGGCCACCCACCCAAACTGCTCACTTGCATACAGGGGAATAGGAAGCAGGTCTGCATATCTTTTGCCGTGGAGTGAAGAGCTTGGAGAGGGCAATTTCTAGGGGCTCAGCTATACTGTTGCAAATAAAACGTTTCAAGTGTGTTGCAAAGTGCAATATACAAATGTGACACTAGATGGTGATGGTGAGCCATGGCAAATTCAGTGGATTAAAAAAAAATTCCTCAGCGTTTTTTTATATGTGTGTAGATTCCACCTAGGAGACATGGAACAAATCCAGAACTCCCCTGGCCACACTCCCCACCCCCTCCATGCACACACCTTCTTCCAGGAATGGGTTGTTGAACTGTGTAATGAGTCTAGCTTGTCTGAATGGAAAGAGGTGGATGACCATGTAGAAACAGCTGACATTTCCCTGAATGCCATGTAGCCAACACAAGCCTGGCTTTCATATCACCTTAAACCTAGATGAACTATTGTTTGAAGGTGAATGCACACTGTGTTGGTGCAGGGGACCCAAATCAAAGGTGTTTTGCTCCTGCCATGTTGCCAGGAGCTAAGCCATGGTTTGACAGAATGTTAATCTAAACCAGTGGTTCCCAATTAACTAATTACTAAGGAAATCAGCCGTGAGTGCTCACTGGAAGGACAGATCCTGAAGCTAAGGCTCCAATACTTTGGCCACCTCATGAGAAGAGAAGACTCCCTGGAAAAGACCCTGATGTTGGGAAAGATTGAGGGCATAAGGAGAAGGGGATGACAGAAGACGAGATGGTTGGACAGTGTTCTCGAAGCTACCAGCATGAGTCTGACCAAACTGCGGGAGGCAGTGGAAGACAGGAGTGCCTGGTGTGCTCTGGTCCTTGGAGTCACGAAGAGTCGGACACGATTAAACAACAACAACAACAACAACAACAAGGACCCCCTATTTTCCAAAAGCCAAGCCACAGTCCCCCCACTTTTGAACATTTTGATAGCTCTATGGTAGTTACCTCTGCAAAGCAATTTTTTGAACAAAATGTGGGGTAGCCTTTAATAAGCAAAGCATTTTAGGTGTACTAAAAAAAACCAGACTAGGGCTGAGAGATATCTGGTATTCAACATTGTGATATATCAGCAGCTAAACATCACAATGTTCTGATATATCACGATGTCTGAAATTGGAGATTGGACATGGGGATGAGGGAAAGAGCAGCCGCAGAGATTGGATGGCTGGGGGGAGGAGAGGAAGCGATGTCACCCCCACTGCATGGTTTGAGTTTGAGGGGGTGGGGGTGCATCAAGCCACAATCAGGGGGGCAGCCGGTGAAGAAGCACATGCACTGTGGCTGCTGCTGCTGCTTTCCTGCTGACTAAAAAAAGCTGCTCTGAGTCCGTGCCGGGGAAAGGTAGTGCCACAATTCCTTGAAGTGAGAGCAGTCAGCATCAGCGTGAGGAGAAGGCAGCACCTCGCAATCGGCTGCCCTGGTCTCCCTTGGTGTGAAGGAAGGCAGCTCAGATCAGCAGAGTGATGGGCTGAAATCATCCTGCGATTTGGGTGGTGCCTTGAAATCAGCTGCCCTGCTCTTCCTTGTATGGGGAGTGATATACTGCTACGTATTGCTGGGTCGAAATCGTTATCACTGTGTGATTTCAAAACCAGTTTTAACCAATATATTGAAAAATTGCGGAGTGCTAAAACAGACCATAAAATTTGTGAAATACCATGCAAAAATGGCAAAAAAATGAGTTGGGGGAAAGGCAAGCGATAGGGCCGGGGAGGCCCTGTGTGTATTCCACGGACCCTAATTGGGAATCATTGATCTAAACTCAGGTTCAAGATTTGTTTCTCTCCAAAAGAAACCATGAGCCGTAGCATAGGCTTGCTTTTTAGCTAACTGCTCATGGTTTGTTTGGGGCTCAGACATTAAGCTGAGGCTTAATCTCCTGTAAAACCACCTGCCCCACACCAGCAAGGGGAAGGTTCTCCACCTCCATGCTAAGCCAAATCAAGGCTTAGCTCTGTGCAGAACAGCAGCAGGAGAAACAGGGGAGGAGCAAAGTGCCCCTAATTTTAGCCCCGTGCCTCAACCCACTCTGCACTCACCTTAAAACCAGTCAGCTATGGGAAAGTGACCTGAGTTTGAGGCCTGGACAAGATAAGAGGCACGCCTGTTGCTCTGCCCACATTTGCTTGAGGCTCCATCCATGTGTGCTTCTGGCCCTGCCCACCACTTGCATGTGGCCCCTGGAATGAGGCCCATGAATGAAAGAAATGTCCCCCACCCAAAGCACCCTCTGGTCCTAGAATTCAGGATGTAGTGGATTGGGACAATGTTCCAGATCTGCACTGAGGCTGATTTCAAAGGTGGCAAGAGAATACCTCTCTGCTTCTCCTGCCATTGAGGAAGCTGTGGAGAGATGCTGGGGAAGGAGAAGAAGCAGGTGATGGGATGCAGCTGGAAGTGAAGGAGAAAATGCCTCCAGTTTCCTGTTTCTCCAAATTGTCAGCACAGAATCCACAAGAGAGTTCTTCCCTCTACTGAGCTGTGTAAAGTATTCAGACATTTGGAGATGCAAATGATCTAATTTTGGTTTTACAATAATGGAGAGGAACAGGAAGCATGGAGCACTTGTACCTCCTGTCCCTTTCGCATCAGCATAATGTCCAGAGGTCCAGGGATATTTGTAGGCAGAGCCTTTCTTCCCTTTACAGCATGAAAGAGCACAAAACAGGGAATGAGGGAGCAAATAAAGAAGTAGGAAACCTCTTACCTGTCACAGAAACACGAGGTAAAATAAAAGAAACACGATAGCTGAATCTTAAGGTTCCTTTCTCAATTCGAAAATAGTACTGCCCTTCATCCTCAAACTTAACATCATTGATGCTAAAGGAACAGTCACCTTCTGATAGATTTCCAGTCAACTGGAAACGATTCCCAGCAAATGAGGCAATGCTTTGATCCTTGTCACTACTGGCAACAACACTACCAGCATTTGGGTGCCACTTGTTGCGAATATAGGACCCAGCACCATTGTCCTTAATCCAGTAGACATATAATTCCTCAGGATACCGATCCTCAGAAGTGGAATAAGTGAAGTTGCAGGGAATGTGAACGCAGAGACCTCTCTGCACGGTGACAGCCTCTAGCGCTTTAAGTTCATATCCCGGGTGCTGACTCTGCAGACCTGCCAAAGGAAAGAAGAAAGGTGTTCACTGGTTTGTGGGCTTAGCGAAGACAAGTTTTGCAGCTGACCCTCTTGCCAGCATACTGTACACCTTGAGAAGAACATTCTGCACAGTCAACAGCACCAAAACATCAGGGGTTGTCTGGAGCAGCGGCACCTGGGGATTGTGGTGGGTCTCCAGTCCCAGGACTTCCCAACCACCCACCACAGTAGCAGGACCTCAGGGGTAAGCATTTCCCTGGGCAAGAAGGAGGAGGACATTCAGGTGTGAGTTTCTAGCAGGTGCCACACACTCAGAAGGAGGAAGGTGCTCTCAAGTCCCCTGGCCAAGGACCCCGAACCAGGGATATTCCAGTGCTCCTTGGGCCTCACACTGGAACTCTTCCTGCCATTTGTACTCAGGACTCATCATTTCCAAGTTTTCAAATTCTTCACTCTTAAAATAAACCATGAAGTGAGCAAAACCTATGAGGTACATAGGAAGCAGGGCTGGCCTCAGGAGGTGGCATGGTTGGGTGTCTGTCATGAGCCCTTATCCCAGTAGGGACTCAATGATAAGAACCCTCTGGAGCTCCTGCAGTGAGAGGGAGACTCTGTGAGGAAGGGGCATGCATGGAGGGTGTCTTGATCAAGGACCACCCAAAACCTGGACCTGATCAGAAGCTGCCTTATGCTGAGTCCATCCACTGGTCCATCTACTCTGATGGGTAGTGGCTTTCCAGGATCCCAGATAGGAACCTCCCCCAGCCCTTTCTGGAGATGCTGAGGGTTGAACCTGGATCTTTTTGCATGCAAGTTGTTGTTGTTGCTGTTTGTTGTTGCTGCTGCTGCTGCTGTTTATTTATACCCCGCCTTTTTTGCCTGACAGGTACTCAAGGTGGCTTACAGATAAAAATACAGTGGACGCTTGGGTTGCGAACGTGATCCGTGTGGGATGCATGTTCACAACCGCAGCAGCACGTCTGCGCATGCGCAGGTTGCAATTCGGCGCTTCTGCGCATGCGCGACGGCTGAAACCCGGAAGTAACCCGTTCCGATACTTCCAGGTTTTGGCAGATCCATAACCCGAAAAAACGCAGCCTGAAGCGTCTGTAACCCGAGGTATGACTGTATAAACAGCTGAGGGGGAAATAGTCACTAAAAAACAATTAAACATTGGTAGAATCAAAACTACACACATACACTTGAAACATACATATAGTTACAATGAAAACAGCACAGCACTATCCCTTTCATTAAAAAACTGTCAGTTTCCAAAAGGAAGTTCTCCTCCACTGAGCCACGGCCCTTCCCTCTTGGGACATAGCACTCAGAAGAGCAAATTTTCTCATTTCTGCACACCAGGGATGGATAGTATGTGACCCTTGAAAAGTTGGGGGTTGGCCGTGCTGGCTGCAGGTTCCCCAGCCACCACATCTACCTTTGCAGAGAAAGGTAAGAATCAACAGTGTCACCGTCGCCATGGATGAGGCTGGGTTCTTCACCTCCCAGGTGAGGCTCATGAGTCCTCTGGTCCTTCTGCCCTTTGGCATCTTTTCTGAACTGAAGGCTTCTTTCTGAGGTTGGAGCTCTGGGGCAAAGAAATAAGAGAAGAGGAGCATGAGGCACTAAGTGAGCAGTGCTGGCTGAAGCAGAGAGGGTGCTTGGAACTCATAGATTCTGGAAGAATAAAAATATGCAAGCAGTTTTCGCCACAAAGTCTCCCATTCGAATTTGACCATCTACCATGAATTCAGACGCCAGGGTCATAAGGGCCACTAGCCACAGCCTCACTTTTCCTGTTTATAATGCAGGGTTAAATTAGCCAAGGGGTTGGAAACCTCAAGCCATGGGGGGAGGGGGCCAAATGTGGCCCTCCAGTCCTCTGTATCTGGCCCTTGAAATTCTTACTAGGCTCCACACCTTTTCACTCCGCATCCTTCTTGAGAATTAGCTTGCCTGGAATGTGCCCTCGGTTGGTGAGAATGCCCTTTTGCTTTCCTGGATTGAGGAGAAATGTGCATGGAATGCTAGTGGCTATAGAAACCTCTGGTTTTTTTTGCTGTACAAAGGTAAGAATTTTGTCAGTTGTTCCACCCACTCTGATCTTGCCCACTGCTGGCATATGAGCCCAGGAAGCTTGTCCATGAGGGAGTGTGGGAGAGCTGAGGGAGTCTCCATACTGGTACACACACACAATCACAACCACACACACACACACACACACACACACACACAGTGGAGCCAGTCTCTTTCCACAGGCACCCAGGCACCAAAAGAGTCATGCTCCTGAGGTATCTCACACAGGAACGCAAAGGAAGCTCGCACCCTGGTGAGAGGGCCACTGTGGAATCTGAGCTAAGGAGCCAAGTGCATCTGTTTGTGTGTGTTTGTTGGGCAGCAATGAATGGAGAAGAAGGAGAAGACTGAAGAGAAAGGAGGACCCAATTGCCGCCCCTCCCTTTGATAGTTCCATGTTGTTTCCACAGGTGAAATTTCTCTTCTCAGGTTGCTATTTGCCACCCTTGTGAGGCAAATAGCAGCTTGCGGGGGAGGATGAGCCCTCACTGATGTGGAAATGTGGAGAACTAAAGACTGGGGAAATGAGACACTGAGAGAAACTAGGGGGAGTGCTCCGGCAGGGAGCTTGAAAGCAAAGACCTGAGCCTAGAAACGCAGCGCAAAAACCATGGATGAACCCCTTGCTGACTATAGCTGCAGCTGCAGAATAAATGCAAGAAACAGGAGAACTACCTCTCCCAGAACCTTCCCATTTTTGCCTGAGTTTTGTTCTGCAATAGTCGCCCTTGGGAAAAACAGCCTCTTTTGCTTCTTTCTCTGAGAGTGGGAGAGAGAGAAAAAGAGATACAGAAAGAAAGCTGCCTTTAACACCAGGGCAAGCCCAAGACGTTTTGATATTTGAGGTGGAGCAGGAACTGGCACACACACACACACACACACACACACACACACACCCAAAAAAACAAAGCAAAAAACAAGGTGCATAGTATTAAAGGCCAGTCAAATTATTTTGACACAACACCTTAAATCAGCTTTCTGCCTGAAGCAGCTCCCTCACCCTGCCCAATAGTAAGGTTGGCTCTGCTCACAACCCTCAGAAACCCCCCCCCCAAAACATCTGCTTACTAAACCTCTTCTTGTGAACTGTGAATCCTCAGAATGATAGCTTACCCCTCACAGAGCTACAGAGAGCAGCTTTAAAAAATGACCTTTCCTGGGATATTTTTGGGGGTGCTTTAAGTGTGTAGTGTGTATGCAGCCTTTGATTCAGGTTCAGTTTCTGGCTTAGCAGACATACCTCTAGACAGACTCAGAAGTCCCTTTTCTCTCCTCACCTCTCGGATTCAACTTGAAGCAGTGAGCGAAGAACCTCCTTGTTGCTTCTGCCTTTCTGTCTGTGGTGCTGAACCTCTGGGAGAATTTCGCTAAACTTAGAAGGGAATTATGTAATAGGAACCAGAAAAGCAGAACTCTCAGAAGATGGCTTAGTCAAACAGGATGTAAGCAGGGTTAGATTCTCGGGCATCTTCCCCTTCTATTTTTATGGGAAATCATTTACAAAAATCTGCATGGAATGATTTTGTGACTTGGGGGCAATGTCCCACAGGGTCTTTTCTGTCCCAGCACCTGGGATGCAGCAAATTATTTTCTTCCATGGAGGTGGTATTTCACTAGCAATGGTGCCCCACACCCTGGTTTTTCTGCTACTTAAATTGATTTTGGAATGTTCTTTAAATTTTTAAACAGAGCTTGGCTCTCAGCATTTTTAAAATTATTGTTTTGATCTTCTGTTAACTGCAATTATTGTTCAATTCATTTGGAGTTAGCCATTTTGGCAGAAGGTAACAGTGGGGAAATGTGGTCAGTGTTTTGGGCTCCAACTGGATAAAAGCCCTAGTTCTACTTCTGACTTCGCCCTGTCTTCTGCCTCTCTGATTCTTTTCACACAGGAGAATGGGGGGGGGGACAGGGGTGGAGGTGGGGACTCCCTGGTCCTGAATGGGGTAACTGTGCCCCTGAAGGACCAGGTGCGCAGCCTGGGAGTCATTTTGGACTCACAGCTGTCCACGGAGGCGCAGGTTAATTCTGTGTCCAGGGCGGCTGTCTACCATCTCCATCTGGTACGCAGGCTGAGACCCTACCTGCCTGCAGACTGTCTTGCCAGAGTGGTGCATGCTCTAGTTATCTCCCGCTTGGACTACTGCAATGCGCTCTACGTGGGGCTACCTTTGAAGGTGACCTGGAAACTGCAATTAATCCAGAATGCGGCTGCCAGACTGGTGACTGGGAGTGGCCGCCGGGACCACATAACACCGGTCCTGAGAGATCTGCATTGGCTCCCAGTATGTTTCTGAGCACAATTCCAAGTGTTGGTGCTGACCTTTAAAGCCCTAAACGGCCTCGGTTCTGTATACTTGAAGGAGCGTCTCCACCCCCATCGTTCAGCCCGGACACTGAGATCCAGCACTGAGGGCCTTCTGGTGGTTCCCTCATTGCGAGAAGTGAGGTTACAGGGAACCAGACAGAGGGCCTTCTCGGTAGTGGCGCCTGCCCTGTGGAGTGTCCTCCCTTCAGTGTTGGGTTGAAATCACGACAAACGAGTAGCAAGTGTCATATGGGAGGCATCTCTGGAGCAAACCCCGAGAAGACTCTTTTATTGAATATTACAACATTGCCACAGGTGCGCGCGTTGCTGATTGGTTGATACAAACACAAAGCAACTTGTTGCTGATTGGTTAACACAAGTACAAGGCAAGGGTTACATATAGGCATTAATCACCAATAGATTAAAGGCTGGGAAAGGGAGCACGGAACTAGACAGGCATGAAACCTCCTAATTAAATTATAACTAATGATTGATATAGCATGACTAAAACAATTACTAATGATTGATCATAACATGAAAGAATATAATAATCGTGTTCCGTAGATGTGGTCAACTATGCATTAAGAACAGGTCAGAGTATAATGTTTTCATGAACTTAAGATGAACTGAACATCCTAGGGAAATGAGGGAATGTCTTGGTATTTAGAACGGGTTGTACAGTATGTACAGAAGCAGAGAAAAGCTTAGAAGCAAGACTTCCCATAATGCCAGAGAAAAGCTTAGAAGCAGGACTTCCCATAATGCCACAGTTATGTGCAGAAGCAGAACTTCCCTTCACTTCAGATGTGAAGGAAATAAGCAGCTATCCTATTTTTAAAAGACATCTGAAGGCAGCCCTGTTCAGGGAAGTTTTTAATGTGTGACATTTTAGTGTATTTTTGGTCTCTGTGGAAGCCACCCAGAGTGGCTGGGGAAACCCAGCCAAATGGGCAGGGTACAAATAAAAATTATTGTTGTTGTTGTTATTATTATTATTATTATTATTATTATTATTATTATTATTAAAATGGTAATAGTTTTGAGGCAACAACAGCAACAACCTGAGTCAACATTAAGCTGTTTATTGGGATTCTGTACACAACATAAAAAGGAAAATGGGCTTCAAGACAGACAGGGTCAAGTAAAACAAAACAACCTCTTTTTTAAAAATAATAATAATAATATTTATTAATAGTTTCAGAATTACAGAAAAAAAGGGAAAAAATTAAAAACAACACTACAATACATAAAAAAGAAGGAAAAAAAACAAAACATAAAAACCAATGCAACAATACAGCAAAAAGATGAAAAAAAAGACACAAATCCCATATTACATATCTTTAACTTCCATTTGCTTGTTTCATTGACCTCCTCACACCTCCCTTTTTGTATTCTAGTTTAATTAGTTATTTCAGCAAATTCTTTCCATCTTTCTCAATTTTTATTGAATAATTTATCTTAACAATTTAACCTATTAATTAACTCAACAAATCCTTTCCATCTTTCCCCATATTCTGTTATTCATATTGCCTTAATTTATTTAACCTTATCTTACCGTAAAATACCTTAGAGCTTGAAACTTAATACTCAATTATACATAACTCCTTATATCATTTCTACTAAAGCCATATAGTTTCATTCCAACATTTTCCCTAATATTCATTAATTTTAGGCTAATTCCCTAAATAAACATTTTTCTTTATAAATTTTCTTCCAATCTTCATCCAGCGTCTCTTCTTCCTGGTCTCGGGTCATGTCAGTCCTTACTGTCCTTACATATTTCAAAGTCCCTCTGAAGTTAAAAGCCTCCTCAGCTCCAGACTCCCCCTGGCCCACTCCAACTTCAATCTTCAAAGACAGCGGGTTATGCTCCTGTAGGGCCTCGGATCTCTCCATTTGTATTATTTGAGGTGCAACCGCAACCTCCTCCATTATCTTCTGCACTTGCCCAGTCAGTACAAGTTCCTGATTTGGTCCCTGAATGGTTTCTGTATCAATATTCCCTGTTTGTCCACAGTTATTAACCACAACAGTCATCAAATCCATTTTCTCATTCATCAAATCCATCTTCTCATGCATCTGTTCCAAGAAGGCACTTGTCTTGCATAAAGCAAGCACCAAAACTTCCTCCCAGCTCATATTTAGTCAAGGTCAAAAAGGACTGGTCCCACGATCTTAATCTCACAGCTGTAGAGTCCTCAAGTAGACTGCAGCAACAATTTAGCAAGCTCCCTCTAGAGGAGACAATTTCTATTCGTATCCATTTTTTTAAGGCAAGTCCAGCAAAGGAAAATTACTTTCATTTTTCAGATATTTTGTTTCTTTAGAATGCAAAAGGCAACATTGGAATCAGTTTATTTCTCTTCTTTAGCTATCTGTCAAAGTATTCCATTCACAGTCAATGAACCTCTCCAACAATTTCTGTCCCTGACACCCCGTTCCCAGGTTAGAGACGGTGGAAACTTATCTTTCTTCACTTCCTCTCCTGCAGGCGTTAAACAAAGTCCCCCCCCCCTTTTCTCCTGCTTCCAAGGGGGTTTCAGTAGTTATAAATGAAGGAAATTTAGACTTTTTTAACGACTTTCCAGGCTTTAGCTTACAAGGTTTTTGCTTCAGTCTATATACAAAAAGCGGAAAGCGGACTTCCTGTTTTGAACCTTCCCGCTTCAGTGCCAAATTAAGATATTTCTTGATCCAATTTTCCGTTTCTACTCAAGGGTACTTGTTTTAAATCCAATTGTCCACAGGAAAAAGTCAGCGCTCTCCGGCAATGGCTGTGCGGCTTCACTCCGTGAAAGTAGCAATCAGTTCGCAGCACCGCGCCACTCACCCCACTTCACTCTGGAACCCCGAAATGGGGTTCCCGGTGAGTAGGGGGGCGCTCCTGGTGCCCTGCCGAACCCCACGTTCCCAGGCTTCCTCCGCCTGGGATTTCTAGCGGGTCCCCACCTTCGCCGCGGCGGGAAGACCCAGTTTCCACGGAGCCAATTCCTCCAGTCGGAGTAACTCCGCCATTCGCCGATGGCGTTAACCTGGAAGCCTAAAACAAAACAACCTCTAACCTTGCCATCCATGGCTGCCCCAAGACATTTGTCTGCCTGAAGCAAAGAGCAAGATTTCTTCCCCTCCTGCACCCCATGCTCTTGTTTCACATACAGAAGCTGACCTGACTGGCAGTCAGGTCTTACTTCAGCACTGGGGATGGGACAGCAACTATCCCAGTACAGTCATACCTCTTGTTACGTTTGGTTCAGGTTACGTCTTTTCAGGTTGCATCCCACGGCGACCTGGAAGTACTGGAAAGAGTTACTTCTGGGTTTCCCCGCTCGCGTATGCGCAGATGCGCAAAATGACATCGCACGCATGTGCGTAGATGCGGGTTGCGTTCCTCTCAGGTTGCGAATGGGGCTCCGGAATGGATCCTGTTTGCAACCAGAGGTACCACTGTACTTGAAGGCAGCAGGCTAACTTAAGGAGCATAGGACACACTTCAGAGAAGAATCCTAGATCAATGGCAGACCATCTGCTTGGCATAGAGAAGGTCCTAGGTTCAGTCCCCAGCATTTCACCTTAGGACTGGGAATGCTCCCTGTCTGATTCACTGCAGAGCAGTTGCCAGTCTGTGCAGACAATATTGGGCTTGCTGGAACAATAATATAATGCAGGAAAAGGCGCTTCCTATATTCCTCTGCATGGAAGCTTTTCCTCCAGCATCACTTGCTGCTCTGCCTGCCATCTATTGGCTACATACTCACAATAATTCCACCAGCATGCATCAATTGAGTAGATCTGGCATGCAGAAAGGCAGTGGGATTGTATGACCTGGGCTGCCTGCCTCTCTGCACATCGCAGTCATGCCTCCTGGGAGGAATTGAGAGAAGATGGCAAAGTGTGACAGCTGCTGGCCTAAGCCAGCAAGAAACAAGCACTGGAGGATCCCCAGGCAAGGATGGGAGAGAAACGGAGTACTGCCAATTTCCCACTTTCCTAAACAATATGCAAATAGAAATGCAAATGTCCCAAATTCTTATTTCCCCAAATGTTGCAATGCAGTTCTCCAACTGAATGTGGATGTGAAAGCATTAAAGGAGACTGCTTGCAAAAATGTGAATTAGGCCACATGGCGCACAAAAGGAGGAATGCACTCTAAATTACTGACAAATTTTCACGAGGACTTGAAAAAGAAGAAGAAGCCAACTGATGCCAAAAGAACTGGACAACTCAACATAAGACTGGCAAAGTGAGACATGGAAATGGACAAATTATTCCATTCCTAGCTCCAGCATAGCGAATGATCAAGGACAATAGGGGTTGCAGTAGAGGAACATCTAGAGCAGGGTTTCCCAAACTTGGGTCTCCCGCTGTTTTTGGACTACAGGTCCCATCATCCCTAGCTAGCAGGACCAGTGGTCAGGGATAATGGGAACTGTAGTTCAAAAACAGCTGGAGACCCCTGTTTGGGAAACTCTGATCTAGAGGGTCAAATGCTTTTCATCCCAGTTATAATTCTAAAAGCTGTCCAAGGAACAATCAGCCTGGTTTGTTATAATGTCAAGGAAATACTTCAAAACAAGGTAATCAAGTACTGCAGTCTTTGTCAACTTTAGGAAGAAGGATTCAGACATTAAAAGCATCTTTTTTCTTCACTGTATGTTGTCCATTACATCCACTACACCACAAACTCGCATCCAGAGTACTTCAAACTTTTTTTGTATTAAAATAAATAAATCCAGCTGATGTCTGTGTATGGAATAGCAGTGCTAATAATCCTTGTTCTTCCTATTTCATTTGAAATAAACATATTGTTGTTTTTTCCTTGCATGGGCCAAAGACATCCAGGAGTGCACAGCCATGTGTGTGATGCTGCAGCCTCCACTGAGCAAAAGAACTACAGAAGATCCAGGCAACATCATCCTCACTGCTTGCTTCCACCCTCTCCTGTTAATTGAGCCGCCTTCTGGTTTGAACAGCAAAAGGCCAAGCATCTTATGTTGTCAAACAGGCATTTTGAAATGAGGACATCCACTTAAGTAGACTTGGACACTGAAAGGAAGAGGGTTTCATGCAGTAAAACCAAGGCATCTCTTTGCAATAGAGCTTAGAAGTCCATGTTAAAAACGCTACACATGCACAATCACACACAGTGTTTAAAGAGTGGTAAACACTTTTCAATATATTGGTTGTATATGGAAGAGTTTGCATTCATGGTGGGACCAAGAGTAGCCCCATTTGCTGTGATGCCAAACAGAAATAATTTGTCCAGAGGTGCAAATAAATACATTTCCAAGTAAGGTTAGAAATATGAGCAGTGTGGTAAATGTACAGAATGATTTGGGTGGTCTGAAAAGGATACGAAGCAAAAAAATAAATAAATAAGGAACCATGGAGAGGTGGAGGCGGAAGAATCTGTAAGGTGTGTGTGAAAACGCATTAATAATAATAATAATAATAATAATAATAATAATAAAGATTGTTACTATTATTGTTCTTTGTTATTATTGTTATTCCTGAATTCTGACTTTTGTCCATTATTGGGGATCTCTGTTTTAGTGGTGGTAATTTATCATGCTGGTGTCCTATCTTTGTATACCACTTAGAGGTTCTTAAATATTAAGCAGTTTAAAAACACTAAGAAATAAATAAGTGATATTCCTTCTCCCCAGCTATAGGGGATCTGGGAAAAATATGTTTGCTTTTTCGTCCAAGCCCATCCTGTGTTTCAGCCCAAATTGATGAACCTTCATACGTTGTTGGACTTTAACTCCCATTGTCTCTGCCTAATAAGTATATCTGAGGCTCCAATACTTTGGCCACCTCATGAGAAGATAAGACTCCCTGGAAAAGACCCTGATGTTGGGAAAGATGGAGGGCACAAGGAGAAGGGGACGACAGAGGATGAGATGGTTGGACAGTGTTCTCGAAGCTACAAACATGAGTTTGACAAAGCTGCAGGAGGCAGTGGAAGACAGGAGTGCCTGGCGTGCTCTGGTCCAAGTGGTGACGAAGAGTCGGACACGACTAAAAGACTAAACAACAACAATAAGTGTATCATGACTCTAAAGAGTCGGACTAGCAGGCTATCCTTGGTCAGGAGTAGCAACCTACATTTGCCTCTGAGATTTTCAGCTGCTACAGGCAACAATGCATAGGAATTCAAAGTCAGGTCTGGGAGACTTACTTCTGGCAATTGGTTGGGTAGGAACTTTACTTTTTTAGGCTGCAAAATCTTTCATCCCAAGGCAGGTGATGTTCTGGCCGTTGATCCAGGCTCTGTTCCCAGCACAGGAAGCTGGTCGCACTATTTTCCTGGACCTGAGGGGTCCTCAGGTGCTGTTTTCAAAGAGGGTCTCTCCATCCATTTGCTGCTGAAGCAGGAGTGGAGGCCTGGAGCATAGGGAGCAGGTGCAGAGGAGGCCATTCTCCTTATGCCAGCACACAGAATTTCTTATGTTGCTGCTGAGCCTGGAACCACTTAGGAAGGAACAAAAAGCCAGGGCGAGTGATAAACCAGCTCTGGGGATAAAATATCAGGCAGCAGTTTCATAATGAATCAGTAGAGGATGTTGCAAAGTGACTGCAGTTAAACAGTGGCAAGACTGTCTCATAGAGTGATGCTGCTGTGATACCAGCTCCCTCTTAAAGAAGAACTGTATTTTTGTGCTAATAAACCAATTCATGCTGCCCATTGGTCAACAGAATCACAGCTCTTGCAATTCGACAGAGGTGGTGGGCAGTACAGTGGTACCTTGGGTTACATACGCTTCAGGTTACATACGCTTCAGGTTACATACACTTCAGGTTACAGTCGACAATTCTGAGCAAGACGGACCAATCTTGGTATAAGGCAACTTACCGGAAGAAGAAGAAATCAAGACAACAAACTTTTTAGAAAGGAATGGAAGTGGTTTATTGAATATTCAAAACCAAACTGTAAACAGATTAAGACATTGACAGGATTATTGTAAAACCTGTAATATAAAAAATAAACATATACGTTATAAAGGAATAAGTTAAGACAATTTGGAGTATGCAGAAAAGGACAGAAATAAATGTAAGGAACCGAAAAAAGAGATGGAAGGGAGTAGAAATTGAAAATTTTAATACTTCGCAAAATAATTGTTGTAATGTATATAAATGAAAATTATAGATATTTTAATAATAATAAAAAAAATCTTGGTATAAGGCAGCTTTGAAAGTTCCGTTTTTGCATTGCCATTTCCCCCTCTCTAGAGGAAATGAGAGAATACATCAAGGAAGCCATGAATCAGAAGATAAGTTTCTAAACTCCAGATCTGGTGTGGCAGATTAATTGTGCACATTTGCACTGCTTTCTCGGTGGCAAGAAAGAATGATGGTAGATGTAGGAGAATATGAAGGAGAACTGGGGGATGCTTTCAGAACTGTCAAGACAAATTAGAGGGCAAATCTATCCATTGTTCCTAGCCATTATAGTTAAATGGTCAGAGGCGGTGCATCTCTGACTAGGAGATGCTGATTGCAGCAGAAGTGCCAGCATCTCTATGCTTGCTTTGTGATTGACTCTAAAGCTATCCTGAAAGCATAGATGACATTGCATCAAAACCATTGTCATCCAACCTTTCCAGTGCATATCCCTGTCCTTTTCCTTAATGCTAAAAGCAATCCAATCATCCCTGATCATTGGCTGGGTGGGAACCCTGGGAGTGACAGTTCAATGTCTGGGGACCCAAAGTTGAAGAACACTGATCTAGGAGACCTGGTCTCCGAACACACCTTAGCTGCCTCTGGTGCCCAACCTGCGTGATCCACCCCTAATCACTAGGCAACTTCAATAGGGGCACTTGGAGGGTCTGAAACACAGCTGGAGTAGCAAACTCTGCAGAATGTTACATATAACATGAAACATGATACGAGCAAGACTTTGGTTCCATTACGTGTGGGGAACCTTTGGCCCTGCAGATGTTGCTGAACTACAACTCTATAATCTCTGGCCATTGCCTACGCTTGATGGGGCTGATGGGAGTTGTAGTTCAGCAACAACTGAAGGGCCAAAGGTTTCCCAACCCCGATTGCATCTCTCCAAAACCCACTGAGG